CGCTAGCCAATATGTTGAAACATGTTTTTGCTTGAGTCGAATAAGGATTCTATTGAATATGCGAGCATGTATTTCCGATGACAATAAATGTGAAACCGTGAAGAATTCGTCGATGACAGAGGAGATAAATTAGATTCTCACTCGGTAGGACAGAGTTCAAAAAAAAAAAAAAAATGTAGAGAAAATGTTCAACTGCCACATAGAGAAAAAAATACTTCCATCTAGTCATTCTTTTTTCCATTATATGCTCATTATGTATTAAAAAGAATGCTACAGTACTTAATTACTCTAGATCTTCCTCTTAAAATACACCAAATTTTGGGTGAGTTTGGATTGGGGCTTTGGGAGGGAAGGGGAGCTTGAGGAAGGAAAGCTCTCTCATTTCCCTTGTTTGGTTTTCTTAAAAAAGAGAGTAATGGAGATGGAAGGAAGACCCTTATTTCTCATCCCAAATTGGGGGATTAGAAGGTTTGGCAAAATTTTGATCGTTTGATTTACTTTTTTTTTTTTAATTTCTTTTGAAAAATTATTGTTCAATTTAGATTTATAATATTGATGGTTAGATCAGGAATAGCTCTTAATATTGGTAGCTTTTTCTATCCAACGATCTATATTTTATAGTTTGAACTACAAAATAGAAGAATTTTTTTTTTTTACTACCTTTGCTTTTGTTTTTGGTTTGTTTTTTTTATTTTTATTATTTATTTTTTATCATCTCACTTTGGAATTAAACGGTGATAAAGGCAACCTAAGCATAAGTTTACATTGCAATATTCAGGTGTGTAAATAGCACATTTACTCCCTTATCATCTAGAATATTTTAGTCAACTTAAAACTAGGGTACTATAACATTTAATATTCAGTAGTGATATAGAGAATGAAATTTTGGGGTCAAAATTAAATTTGAGACTAATAACATGTCATAAATCATGAGTTGATGCATATAATATTACAAGTTTCAATAAGGTAAATAGAACCAATCATTAAATAATATAAAATCCACCTTTTATATTATGTAACTTATGTTATTTCTTTGGTTCCAAATTTTAGTCCCTAAATTTTCATCTCATTTATCATTATCCAAGTATTTCTTTAATTGTATGTTTGGATTGAGGGAAATGGAGGGGAGGATAATAAAAGGATATTTAGATTAGTAAATGTTTACACCATAAATTGCAAATTTATTGATGTTGCCATGTGTCATCTTATTTGAATGAGTGGCTATAGTTAGGCTATAGGTTACGTCAAACTTGATGTTGCTGTGATTTGGAGTATGATAGATCTTGTTGATGATGTCATGTGTTCAACTAGATTTAGTGTTTCTATCACTATCTCCTATTTATTTGATGATATTTAATATTAGTGGAGATCATGGCTAAATTTTAGAAGGAAGTTGCTTGCAAAGTTCAACAAATGGATAAGGTGGTAGATAGATGATGAGTTATAGAGAAAGTTTGATCAAGTTTGTTGTTAAGTTGTCCAACTACCTCATGATGATCTGTCAGGTTTTGCACAAATGGGAATGAGTGATTACCATCTTTCTTAAGACATATAAAAGAGAAAATCCAAAAGAACCAAAACACATGTCCAACCTTACATATAACTCAACAAATTCAGCGTTCTAGTTTCCTTACTATTCACAAAGCTCATAGATCCTAGTTTCAACAAAATTTCCAGTCAAATTTTGGCTTCATTTGAGAACACTTCTGATGGGAATCAAGACAACAGCATATCTACTAAGTCATGTGATCCATTACACACCCAATGAGGTCTAGTCATGCGAGCTAGAGCTAAGAAGATGCGTGAAGCTTTAAATGGCCTTATTGAGTAGATCTAGATTGAAAACAACATACAACAATCAAATCAAAGCTTGGATTATTAGCAAGGCATGGTAAACATCATTCAAGTTCAAGAGAAGCTTAGTTGAGGTCATTTGCATAGAATTACATAGTTTGCATCAAAATTGCACAGTTCTGTTGTAATTTGTAGCAAATTGATATTTCGTGTTATTTTAGGTTATTTTTAGTGATTTTCACGTTTTTTGTATTATTTTTGGGCTGAAAATTCACTTATTTAAAGCCCAATTCGTGGTTATTAGGTTTAGGCCTTAGGGTATTAATTTCCTATTCTGATTAGGATTTGTTTTCTCTATTTAAAAGGCTTGTAACCCTAATGGGGC